ACAAAGCAATATTGAAACAAATAGTTGAAACCCTACGGAACGAGAAAGAACTTGTATGACATGGGTATATTGGTTTGGTGCTGACATTCCGTACTAATGATACATGAGTGTGTGGGTTTCTTTTCATATGACTTTTTGGGACGAGACGTCACGATGACAATTATGCATGTGCCAATGAGAGCAACTTGCATGCAACGAGTTTAACGACAGAGTTACGTTTACGTCAAGTAATTCATATCATGTGGTAAAAAAAATCTTATGCATGACAATACATTAATGGATTGAGACGAGAAAAAACATTTCCTATGAGATGTCATGTGGGTTGTATGTAAATAAATAGCCCGAAGTTTCTTTAGTCCCAAATCCCAAGTACCAACCTTATTTGTTCTTGTTGCAACACGTGATGCAAGAGTGAATTGTCATGGTCGGAAGAAAAGGCTTGGCCCACAAGCTCTCTAATTTGATGGATCGTGATCCACGTGTCCAAAGCATGCGTGCGGACTGAGAAATTCGGATCATTTAATTTAAATCTTACGGTCTTCATTAGTCTATCTAATTGGCTCACTTTATAAAAATTCAAAATACATGAACGGTTCAAATTTCTTTTTCTATTGAACGGTTTGAATACCTCGGTGTGCGAACTTCGTGCTCAGAGATATGGTCTACATCTCAATGCTAATTGGATGGTTATAAAGAAGCTTTGTGGCAGAACAGTCACGTTGCCTTTGCTTTTTAGGTCGTGAAGAAAATACGACAGGCCAGTACTCGAACAAAGATGGAGTCACAGACAAGAAAACTATTGGATCACAAGGTTTCTCTAACTGAGTAGTGAAATCATTATGATAACGAAAACCCAATTTTGAACTTTCGATCATTATGCAGGGCTTGTACTTTCGAAAAATTTACCAACAACGGAGATGTCACAATAAATCACGTTTTGTCAAGTATTTATACTTTCTACACACTAGTGCGAGACTGACTTGAAATATAGCTACAGTAAAAAGAGTAGGAGGGACCAAAGTGAAAAAGAAAATGCAGAAATGTGTTTGGAACAGTTTTTGGATGCCGATATAGATTTCGAGTGGTCCACTATATACTCATCCATCGTGTGGGGTGGGGGTTTCAGTGGCTTGTCTTATATGCCACACGGCCATTATCTTTTGTTTCTCTCATTAATTCGATGATAATAACGGTAATGGATTTCACAAATAAATAAATAAACTTCGAAAGAAAAAGACTAATATTTGTTTCATGAAAACCCTTGGATATTAAATTATGTGGTTGATGCCAAAGAACAACTGAACAAGTTCATGATGCCTGAACAAGTTCCAAGTAGGGAGAAAAAAGAGAATTTGTGCGTCCACTAGTTAGGCAATATGTGCTTGCTTTGATCCTTTTCATTTTCATTGGTTTATTTTACGACGGGTTTATTAATCTATAATTGAGCAAGAATATGCATGTGATTCAACATTCTAATAGATAAGTATTGGGTTTCTATCAATGCGTCTCATGTTCTAAATTTTCAATTTGCTTATATTATTGTAATAGTTTCGAGTTATCTTGTATCGTACCCTTAATAATAGTACATTAAAGAAAAAAATTGAACGGCAGTGAGTTGCACATGGAATAAATTTGATGGATACGGAGTTAAAAATTCGTTTCTATGGAAATTGTTATTCTATTAAATAAAATCGAAGTATGAATGATACTGATTGTGTGTCGGCATCGTTAGATGCATGTTCTCTACAAATATTGCATCATCAACAAACTAGTCAACATAGTTGCATGATCAGTGGGGAACCCATTAACCACCACGAGGTTTGGATAAACTAGTCAACAAACTTGGCAATATTTGAATTTTGTGGCTCATTTTGTTTTGTATTTTCATCACAAGAAAATCATGGGAAATTGATTGAACTCATTAATCTACGAAGTTTAATTGTTGAAATAATCAAAATTTGAACTATCACATGGTGGTTCAATGCTGGAGACGAATTTTAATTTTGTATTTCAACAGCACGTCTTGAGTTTGACTCTTGTCACTTGTGAATCACGCTATGGTGGCCATATGATGCTTAAATGTTGTTGTAAGTCTTCCTGAGTCTTTGGCCCTTAAAAAGGTGGATTGTCGTAGTGAAGCTACCAACTGGTCCCTTTTTATTTAAAAAATAACCTAATCCAAATTTGACCACACATTGACTAAATTTTAGAAAGTGATCCATTCGTGCAAAACCTAATTTTTAAATTGGTCACTACCGAATTCCCTCAAATTATATGTTTATGATTTTCCAAGATTTCATTTGTTGCATTTTTATTGATAAACTGAGATTCTAAACTAATTTATATGGAGGAAGATTTGAACTCATGTTCAATTCAAATGAGTAAACACACTTCTGTAATTCATTATCGTAACCCACATTTTCTCCATCTGATGTATGTTGTCCACAAAATAGAAATTTTTTTCTTCCCTTGATTAATATTTAATGTTTATAATGGACTAATTAGCCATGAATGACCCAAAAAAAAGGAAATTAGGTATGAATGGATTAGCATATCCTATCAATAGATGCTTCTGTTTAACAAAGTAATGGAAGCAGCCATTCAAGAAGAGACACAATGTTTCATAAAAGTCTTCAAGTTTGTTTTTGAAAGTCAAGGGTTAACAGTATGGACCCCATGAGAAAATTTTTTCAGGGAGTTTTATCAAAACATTTCCGGTATTATTCACTTTTAACGAAAAACCACATTTATACTTTTCTCTGGTACTATTCACTAGGGGTGGAATTTTTTGCCAAATTATCATACCAAATGAATTACCAACCGTACCATACCAAAGTTGTGTCAAAAAATTTGTACCATTGGTAATGGTACGGTATTTGTACCGTACCATACATTTTTTGTACGGTAATGGTATTCAAAACCATTACCAGTGGTATACCGTATTGTACCACTACTATTAATATTATATCATTTATTCATTCATTTATATATAATTAGGTATTATTATCATGATATATGCACTTTATATTTTTTTCCTAGTCATTTATCCAATCATTTCACCCTCTAACCCCTACTTTCCTAATAAAAAAACCTAAGCCTTCTTGCGCTGCTACTCTTCATCTTTTCACTCATCTAGCCACTGACTTCATCTTTGTTGCTCCAGTTCTGGCGACTCTCTCTATCCGGAGTTCATCTCATCTTCTCCTTCATCAAATTAGGATGTCTTTCTTCCTGGCTTCGTCTATCAAGTTAATTTTTGTACAATTTTAAAGAATATAGAGATGGAATTTAGGAATCTTTGTACATTTTTTTTAGGGATATTGGGTTCTTTCAGCAATTATTCCATCTATTTACTTCCTATTTCTTAAATGAATCTCTATAAAATTCTCATAATTAAATAAAAAAAATTTAGAAACCCAAAGGGAGTGGTCAAAACACGTTTGGACCTTAAATAGGGTTAAAAAAATCAAATTTTGGCCCAAAACAAAGTGATAATTACCATTACTATACCACGTCAACCGAACTATTTGACATGCCGAAATTCGGTATACTGAAAGTTTGGCACGGTAATGGTAATGGATTTTGTCATACCAAAATTTTGGTATGGTAATTGGTACATGAATTTTGGTACGGTAATCGTACCAATACCACCCCTACTATTCACTATACTTTTAAAAAAAACTTTTCATTAAAAGGAAGTTTTTTTTGGACTTTTCGTTAGTTTTTTTTTTTTTTTTTTTTTTAAATGTGTCGGGAGCAGCCACTAGTACTACAGTCTAGTGGTATTTCTCTTCATTGATAAGTCAAATCTCGCCAAAGGCGAATTTGCACCAATTTATTGCTAACCCATTGTGAGGCTAAGGTCACCCCCTCCCTTTAGTGTAGATAATATCGATTGTTCAAAAAAAAAAAAGTGCCAGGAGCACAGCCTAGTACACCAAGCGATTAGTTGAAACTTTTTTTTTTAAAAACGTTTCAAACCATTTGTATTATTACAGTTAATATATTGAACCATGTTTTCTGCACACTGAAAAATCTTTCGGACCCCATAAATAAATACTCAATTCAACCCTTTTAAGAAGGATTAAATGGCTTCTCATAAATTGCAGTATATGTTAGGAACCTCACCAAACAAAAATAAATTCACTTGGAAACATATTTTTTATGATTTTCATTTTTTCAGTTCAAGAATTGCATTTGGTGAAGTTATGAATCCGACGTTTAAGAATTTTCGATGTGATCGTCACACTCAAAAACTGTACGATTAGTCCATGATCGTATATGCAACTAACAAAAACTGCTTTGTTTCTTTTCACTTTGCAGCCCACCAAAGAAAAAGAAAGAAGAAAGGCTTCTACTTCAATCCATCAAATATGTACCGATCAAAAAGATATTTACTTTCTATCTTATGAGGATGCTGATTGCTAAACCATACACTTGTAGAATATATAATGCATGGTCTTTTAAAATGCACTAAAATAAGGTTTGAAATTTGAAATATCTAAATCACAAAAGGAGGCTGACGTGTCAAACCCTGGTTTTGACACCTCACACCCAAAAGACTATATACTCCGCATAATCTCGGGTACAACTAGTGTTTAAAATATCTGTATCAGTGAAAATATTAATAAACAAATTGTAGAAATATCGATAACGATATCAATGCCGTTGAAGGAAAAGATCAAAATTTGTTCATAAACGTGAAAATTTAAAACAAAATTTAAGGGGATACTAAACATTAGTTTAGACGAAAAATATAAGATTTTCTCTAATACTTAATCGAGATGTAAAAAATATCGACAAAATCTGTCGAGTACAGTTGAAATTTAAGTGTTTCTCCAACATGTGGTGAAGTCTCTTTCCATTCCTTTCTCTGATTTTTCAATAATTTCGTGAAAATATCAAATCATACAGAAAAATTTCAAACGGGGACCGCAACTTGGTGTATTTTTCTTCGGCTTTCCTCTCGCAATACCACTCAATTGCATCTAAATTTCTCTCCTTCGTCAGTTGAAGTCCACTATCCCTGGCCAACCAACAGGAAAAACAGCCAACCAAAGAAGAAACTGAAAGTCGAGTAAAAACCCATTAAAATCAAGGTCCCAAGAATTTCAACCCCAAATAGAAGTATTGTACTTTAAACAATCTAACCCTTCCCCACTATAAAATATCAACCACCAAGAACTCCCTCGAACTCGTCCCTTTCTCTCTCTACCCCACTCAAAAACCTCTCCCTCCCTCTCTCTCTCTCTCTCTCACTCTCAAAATCTGTCACTTCAGCACTGTAAGTTTGCTGTGTGCGTGTACATAAGCTACAAAAATTTTGATTTTCTGGTTAATTTCCAAATTTCCCAGTTGGGTTTTGCAACTCATGTCTGTTGAAAAGTTTCTCTCTTTCATGGACCTCCCTGAGCTCTGCAAATTCCAGAGCTTTTGTTCTCAGAAAGCTAGAGTTTTGCTTCTCCTAGCTGTTTTCACCAAACCCTTTTCTGGGTTGCCTTCTCATTGCTTTGCTCTCACTGCTTGTGGGAATTTTTTAAACCAATAAAATCACCCCTTTTAATTTTGCTTCAAGTTACAACTCAATTAATAATTTAATACAGTGGTTAATTTATTAATTTAATCATTGTTACTGTTACTTTTATTATTTTATTGCTCTCTAATTAGTAGTTACTTCCTACTCTGGAGGAGTTTTTTGGGTGCGGAGATTTTTGAGATTTGGTGATGATGCCAGCCATTCTTCAGCTGGTTAATCTCTTTGTCATTGGGTTAGCTTTAGCTTTTGCTTTTGCTCTCCAAGGATCTGCAGGTAAATTTTTAATCTTTGCAAATCTCTGTTGAAGTTTTGATGTTTCACAATTCACATAAACATTGTTAGGAATTTAGAACGAACTGTTGGATTAAGTTGTTAATTCTGATATGATTCAGAGGATTTAGTGATTAAGCAACATTGTAGTAATCTGAGTGTGTGAAATTTTCGTGTCGGTATTGTTTGTGATCAAGTTCTGCAATCACATTTCTGTGGGAATGGTCCGAATGGATATATGAAGTATGCTAGGAAGTGACTAAATGAATCGAATTTCGGCATGTTCTTTGATCTGAGCATGTTCATGTCTTGTTGAATTGTCTTCTGAATACTGCCCGAGTGTAAATTTATGACCGGAGCTCACAGCTAGTGGGTCTTCTAGTGCATGGTGATGGCCGGAAATTGTAATGCTATGTTTTTGAAATGACTGTGGTGAGAAGTTCGGCTGTTTAGCAAATCCTAGTTCCGGTTTCATCTTGATCTGGGAAATGCCTTACCATATGTTTCATTTGATGAAACGCTGTTCCAAGTCTAAATCGTACTGCAACTATGAAGTATAATACTTTTGGTAATAAGAACATATAATATAAAAGGGCTTTTAAGATATCAGATTTCCATTGCTTGCTTTAGTTTTCTTCTTCTAAGCAACAGCATATGCCTTCTCTCAGGGTTAAATATATCACCATCACCAGAACCTCTCTCCGTGAATCCTCCCGTTGAAACAGCACCCCCTCCTCTCACTGACAGAAGGTCGTTCACAAGCAATGTACCAATCCCCGCATTACAGCCAAATGGTAAGTCCCATAGCTCTGCTGTTATAGATTAGAAGTTAAGATCATCTGGTTAAACTCCTAATTTGACATGCCAGGGTCCAATTTGCACCCACCGCCTGCAATGCCCCCTCTTCTGTCCGCCACACTGCCCCCAAATAGTGCTCCTCCACCACCAAGTGTTGAAGGTCAAGTCCCATTTATGCCACCAAAAACTGCTCCTCCACCACTAAGTACTGAAGTTCATGTACCGACTGCGCCGCCAAATAATGTTCCTCCACCAAGTGTTGAAAGTCAAGTACCGTCTGTGCCACCAAAGGGTGCTCCTCCTCCACTAAGTATTGTGGTTCCTGTACCGTCTACGCTGCCAAATAATGCTCCTCCACCACCAAGTGTTGAAGGTCATGCACTATCTGTGCCACCAACAAATTCTCCTCCACCACCAAGTGTTGAAGGTCATGTACCGCCTACGCCACAAGTTAATGTTCCTCCACCACTGAGCATTGAAGTTCATGTACCTACTGCACCACCAAATAATGCTCCTTCACCACCAAGTGTTGAAGGCCATCTACCGCCTATGCCACCAAAAACTGCTCCTCCACCACCAAGTGTTGGAGGTCATGTACCATCTTTGCCACCTCCTAATTCTCCTCCACCAGCAAGTGTTGAAGGCCATGTACCGCCTATGCCACCAAAAATTGCTCCTCCACCACTAAGCACTGAAGTTCATGTACCGTCAGCTCCGGCAACTAATGCTCCTCCACCACCAAGTGTCGAAAATCAAGTACCGTCTCTGCCACCAAAAGGTGCTCCTCCACCACTAAGGATGGAAGTTCATGTACCATCTACGCTACCAAATAATGCTCCTCCACCACCAAGTGTTGAAGGTCATGTACCGTCTGTGCCACCAACTAATTCTCCTCCACCACCAAGTGTTGAAGGTCATGTACCGCCTAAGCCACCAATTAACGTTCCTCCTCCACTAAGCATTGAAGTTCATGTACCTTCTGCACCACCAAATAATGCTCCTCCACCACCAAGTGTTGGAGGTCATGTACCATCTATGCCACCTCCTAATTCTCCTCCACCAGCAAGTGATGAAGGCCATGTACCACCTATGCCACCAAAAACTGCTCCTCCACCACTAAGTACTGAAGTTCATGTACCGTTAGCGCCAGCAACTAATGCTCCTCCACCACCAAGTGTTGAAAGTCAAGTACCGTCGGTGCCACCAAAAGATACTCCTCCACTACCAAGTGTTGAAGGTTATGTACCATCTTTGCCACCAGCTAATTCTCCTCCATCACCAAGTGTTGAAGGTCGTGTACCGCCTACGCCACCAATTAATGTTCCTCCACCACTAAGCATTGAAGTTCATGTACCTACTACACCACCAAATAACGCTCCTCCGCCACCAAGTGTTGAAGGTCATGTACCATCTATGCCACCAACTAATTCTCCTCCACCTGCAAGTGTTGAAGGCCATGTACCGCCTATGCCACCAAAAACTGCTTCTCCACCACTAAGTACTGAACATGTACCGTCAGAGCCACCAAATAATGCTCCTCCACCACCAAGTGTTGAAAGTCAAGTACCGCCTTTGCGACCAAAAGATGCTTCTCCTCCACCACCAAGTGTTGAAAGTCAAGCACCGTCGGTGCCACCAAAAGATGCTCCTCCACTACCAAGTGTTGAAGGTCATGTACCATCTTTGCCACCAGCTAATTCTCCTCCATCACCAAGTGTTGAAGGTCGTGTACCGCCTACGCCACCAATTAAAGTTCCTCCACCACTAAGCATTGAAGTTCATGTACCTACTGCACCACCAAATAATGATCCTCCGCCACCAAGTGTTGAAGGCCATGTACGATCTATGCCACCGACTAATTCTCCTCCACCACCAAGTGTTGAAGGCCATGTACCGCCTATGCCACCAAAAACTGCTTCTCCACCACCAAGTACTGAACATGTACCGTCAGAGCCACCAAATAATGCTCCTGCACCACCAAGTGTTGAAAGTCAAGTACCGTCTTTGCCACCAAAAGATGCTTCTCCTCCACCACCAAGTGTTGAAAGTCAAGCACCGTCGGTGCCACCAAAAGATGCTCCTCCACTACCAAGTGTTGAAGGTCATGTACCATCTCTGCCACCAGCTAATTCTCGTCCACCACCAAGTGTTGAAGGTCATGTACCGCCCACACCACCAATTAATGTTCCTCCACCATTAAGCATTGAAGTTCATGCACCTACTGCACCACCAAATAATGCTCCTCCACCACCAAATGTTGAAGGTCATGTACCATCTATGCCACCAACTAATTCTCCTCCACCTGCAAGTGTTGAAGGCCATGTACCGCCTATGCCACCAAATAATGCTCCTCCACCACTAAGCATTGAAGTTCATGTACCTTCTGCACCACCAAATAATGCTCCACCGCCAAGTGTCGAAGGCCATGCACTGCCTATGCCACCAAATAATGCTCCTCCACCATTAAGTATTGAAGTTCATGTGCCGTCTGCACCACCAAATACTGCTCCTCCACCACCAAGTGTTGAAGGTCATGTACCGTCTATGCCGCCAACTAATGCTCATCCCCCGCCAATTGTTGAAGGTCATGTACCGTCTATGCCACCAACTGCTTCTCAAACAAAGGCACCAGTTAATAAGAGTCCTATCTCAGTGCCAGTTGCTCCAGGTAGATTAAAGCCCTAGAGCTGTTTCTGTGATGATTTTTCTGTTAAATTGGTTCCAACCAAATGTTTTCTGTATCACATTGTCCAGTACCCGTTGAAACACCACCCGGGAATTTGCCACAAATTTCACCGGCCATCCATTCAAGTACACCAGAAACTTCACCATTTGCTCCTCAAAGACATGCGCCAGACAATAAGGCTCCCATACCAGAACCAATTGCTCCAGGTAGATGTAGCATTTTGTTATTACATTATTAGTTTTCAGATGCTGGTTATAAGCAGTATCTTGTCTATTTATTTATTTATTTTTCAAAATACAACACGTATTTCATCTTTCCGGAGGGTATTGGGACTAAATCCACCTGTAGTCCATCTGATCACACCAAATATAGCACCACCTACATTACCTGGTGCGCCTTCCACCCCCACCCCCTTTTTTCTCCTTAAACGATCACATATAAACTTTACATTGTACAAACTAGTGAAAATGACCCATTTGTTTTCTCTGAAAAGCAGTACCAGTTGCATCACCAACAAGCAATTTTCCACAAAACCCGCCATCCATTCACCCAGTTACACCTGGAGAATCTCCATCTACATTTCCTGGTACTGCTTCAGAAAAATCGTAGTATAAAGTCATAGTTTTAATGTTCACACTGTGATACCTAATTGCATCAGTTTAATACCTCATTGAATCGTTGTTTTTTAGCAGTTCAAAATAATTTTCTAACCATTGTAACAGTTGACTGACCCCTAATATGAGGTTGCAGATCCTGAAGTCTCTCCTGCATCATCTGCTCCACCCAGCATCAACGGGAAAAGGAGTCATTTTCCAGTTCTTGCACCACCATATGAAGCTCCCAAGCCATCACTACCCGTGGGTCATACCCCAGCTGAAGGTATAGAAAAACTGCATATTCCATATTTTTCTCTGCTTGAAAGTTTGTGTTGTCAAAGTTTTGATTCTACATATTGTTTTCTGCTGTAGCTCCTTCCGTCCGCAAACCTGTGGTTTCATCTCCTCCCCCGAGCATTAACTGGAAAAGGGGTCGAATACCAGTTGTTGCACCATCATACGACACTCCCAAACCATCACCACCCATGGGCCATACCCCAGCTAAAGGTATAAAAAAAATCACGTGTTTCATATTGTTTGCTACTTGAAAGTTATGTTGTCAGGTTTGTAAGTCTAGGTTCTATTTTCTTCTTTAGCTCCTGCTGTCCACAAACCTGTGAGACATTATAAACTTGCTCCTGCACCGTCTATTTCATCCCCTGAACCACCTTTTGATAAAGGGCAACATTCTCCTGCATCTTCACCTTCAATGACTTTCCATAAGAATCATCAAGCGCCATCATATCTGGTTTCTCCTCCCACTCCAGAACAGCCAGGTTTCATGTTTCACCTGAACTACATGTGCTAAGTCACACTTATGAAAATGTTATTACACAGCTTATCATGTTCTTTTGACATTATTAAATTATCATTTCAATACTTAATACAGGCCCAGTGATGCCACCGGTATCATTTCAAACAGGCAGGCAAAGACACTATGCTCCGCCACCCCTAAATCCAGGTACTAAAGCATTGAACTTTGGTGTTTTATTTCATCTCTCACCTGAGAAATGGACCAAACTTTGGTGTTCAAAGCTAACACAATTTCTACACGTCAGCGTCTTCAGTCTCTCCATCTCGTTTGCCTGATGCTCCATCAGTGAGCCATTTTTCGCCTGCTCCTTCTCCATCTTTAAAAGGACCAACTCACGAAACCAAATGTAAGAAATAATCTTGCCTCTGGTTCTCTGTGATGATTTTATTTCTGAACTTACTTTTTTATCTAATTGTCTACTCAATACCTTACCCAATAATTACATGTTTGGAATAATAAGTGCGCCCTAAGATTTCTCCATCTGGAGCTCCAGCAAAGAGCCCAAAAGGGGCACCACCGCTGCCACTAGTTCAAGTATTCCCACCACCACCTCCCAATCAAGGTACATAAGCTAGCAATTTTCTTTACCTGTTAACTGGTGTTTCTACTCTCGTTATTGATCCTACAACATTCTTCTTCAAAGTTCATACAAAAATGTAATGCAAAGGTTCTTCCTTTTTGCAGATTGTTCGTCAACTATTTGCACCGATCCATATACAAATACCCCTCCTGGGTCACCTTGTGGCTGTGTCTTGCCTCTGCAAGTTGGACTGCGACTTAGTGTCGCACTGTATACCTTCTTTCCCTTGGTTTCAGAGCTAGCCCAGGAAATTGCTGTCGGGGTTCTTATGCAACAAAGTCAGGTCCGCATTATTGGAGCCAATGCAGCTACCCAGCAACCAGACAAGACAGTTGCCCTCATTGACCTGGTTCCCTCGGGCAAAAGTTCGATAACACCACAGCTTTTTTGACTTCCCAGAGATTTTGGCATAAAGAAGTTGTTATAAACGCATCATACTTTGGCGACTATGAAGTACTATTTGTGCGGTATCCAGGTATGTATTTAGACTTATGCACATACATACTGTAGGTATTTGTCTCAATAATGCTTAACTTACAAACTACATATGTATAGGTTTACCCCCGTCTCCACCTTCTTTGGACATTGATGCAATGAATGCGGGGCCGTATCCTGGTAATGACAACAATGGAAGGACGACAAAGCCCCTCGGGGTTGACGTGCACAAGAGGAAGAATAAAAATGGTCTTAGTGGTGGGATAATTGCTATTATTGCTTTGTCTACCTTTGTAGCAGTTGCTTTATGCTCTGCTGCTGCTTGGGTTTTTCTGTTCAAACCTAGAGACCACTCTTCTCAACCAGCAGCAATTCCGCGGGCTACACTACCTTCTTCTGGAAAACCATCAGGTAATATGAGTCCCCAAAAGCTAATTGAATTAGGTCTTTTCTTTGTGTCTAATGGAATTAGATCAGGTGAACAGGTAGTATTGCTGGTAACTTAAGCTGATGATTTGAAGATGGGACAGTGCTTATATAACACTGTCATTTCTAATATAGATAACGTATATGTTTTGCAGGTACTGCTGGGTCGATGATGGAAAGTAGGCACAGTTCCTTGTCGTTATCATTCGGATCCAGCAGTGCACCATATACAGGATCCGCTAATACTTTCAGTGCGAGTGATATTGAGAGAGCCACTAACAACTATGATGATTCAAGAGTACTTGGGGAAGGTGGCTTTGGGCGTGTTTATAGTGGCGTTCTTGAAGACGGGACCAAGATTGCCGTCAAAGTTCTAAAAAGAGATGATCATCATGGTGGTCGGGAGTTTTTGGCTGAAGTTGAGATGCTTAGTCGTCTTCATCATCGAAATTTGGTCAAGTTGATTGGCATATGCACAGAAGTGCATAGCCGCTCCTTGGTTTATGAGCTCATTCCTAATGGCAGTGTGGAATCTCATTTACATGGTAAACACCCCCCACTTCCCCCTGCCCGGTTCATGAATTTGTTTAGCGTAGAAGGATTCTTTTTGACATAGGGCTTCTGTCCATTTTGCTTGCTGTCAGGAATTGACAAGGTCAGTGCTCCGCTTAATTGGGTGCAACGCATGAAAATAGCACTTGGGGCTGCTAGGGGGCTGGCGTATCTACACGAGGATTCCAGCCCCCGTGTCATTCACAGGGATTTCAAAACCAGCAATATTTTGCTAGAAGATGATTTTACACCGAAAGTGTCCGACTTTGGTTTGGCGCGAACTGCCATGGATGAGGAAAACAGACACATATCAACACGGGTCATGGGAACTTTTGGGTATGAAATTTCCTCTTTGCTGTATTCAGTGTCCAGATTATCTCATTGGTGACAGTTTCTGACATCTTTAAATTCCTAATGACAATATTCAGGTATGTGGCTCCAGAATATGCAATGACTGGGCATCTTCTTGTCAAGAGTGATGTATACAGCTATGGGGTTGTCCTTCTCGAACTCTTAACTGGAAGAAAACCGGTAGACATGTCACAGCCACCTGGTGAAGAAAACCTAGTTGCATGGGCCCGGCCGCTTCTCACTAGTAAAGAAGGGTTGGAAGCAATCATAGATCCAAATGTAGGATCCGAGGTCCCATTTGAAAGTATCGCCAAAGTGGCAGCTATTGCTTCGATGTGTGTACAGCCAGAGGTATCACACCGCCCTTGTATGGGCGAGGTTGTCCAGGCCTTAAAACTGGTATGCAATGAGTTTGATGAGGCGAAAGAATTTGGTTCAAAGAGTTATAGCCAAGGCGATTTGTCCATTGATGTGGCTGATGACACAAATACTACCTCAGGACAGTTGCCAGATACTTTCCAAAACCAGTATTCCATGCTGACCTATGATTCTGACCTCGAGACAGAGCGGGAAGCATCATTGTCAAATATTTGTAGTACATCAATGAGCACGGGGAGGCAAGATACCGAATCATTCAGGAGGCACTCCAGTTCAGGTCCTTTGGGAACAGGAAGGAGTAAGCAGTTCTGGGAGAGACTTAGGAGATCATCCGGGGGCAGTGTGAGCGAGCACGGGTTTATGTTCAAATTATGGCAAGGCTCCCCCCATTGAACGCTTACTTACTAGCTTAAAATGTTCGGTTTCTTGCTCGATTCCGAATTCTCAGATCACCATGCAAACAACGCGCATTTGCAGAACACTGTCAAGACAGGTCTGCTGAGCATGGGAACTCGGATACGAGCAAAGTTGTGCAGATGTGTAGATAAACGTTGAAACGGTAACTGGAGCTTAAGCATATAAGCAGGGTTCGGATCAACCTACTGAATTTTCAGAGTTGAAGCATCAAAAGTTTTGGATCATAGGCTACTTGGAGTTTTTTTTTTTTTTTTTTTTTTGTGTGTGTAAATTTGTATATGATATTTGTGTATTATTCAGGGAAAGAGGACGCTCTTTGTTACCAAGAATGTACAGAACATTTTCCGTTCCAAAAAAAAAAAAAAATGTACAGAACATTTCCTGCCATGAAATTAATCCATCTTTTCCCTTCACTTCCAGAGCAGTAATTATGCATTTGAACTTTTGGACAATACGTACCATTAGAATCGGTTATAAACTTTCAATTAAAAATAGAACTTTCTGGACACTGTACCGACACTAAGATCATCTCCAATAGTGACCTAAAACCTAAAAATATTTAGCCCATAAATAGCTTTTCTACTCTAATCCTTCTGGCCTAAAATTTTAGCCTCAGATTATCAAAGAATGAATCATCATCTTGAAATATATTCATTGTGGCATTCCTTCGTAAAATTTCCTTTTGCTTACCACCTAAGTATTTCTTCATCTCTGGAGTGTATTAGTCGAGGTTCTCCATTATCAAATTAATTTCGTACCTTTCTTGCTCCCTATCCCCTTGTTCCTTCATGGCCAAAAGCATTTGGGCAGATTCTTCTTGCCGACGGCACTGGTTTTCGTTCATTCTTGCCATTTCGCTAGCAAATTGTGCACGTATCAGATTTTGGGACTTCCCTTTTCTCTTTGCTTCCTTTTGCTTATCTCTACCCGGGGGCCTTGGAAAAGAAGAAGTTGGGCTCATTTGGTCGACACCTTCATTGTCGGCAAAATTCACACATTCATTGACATCATTTGGGGGTGGGGCTTCATTATGAAATAATCTTCCACATTGTTGATTCGCATCGGTTCCCCACCTCGGACAATCCTTGAGGATATTCCAAGCATGATGCAACTTAAAAGCTTGATTTTTCGGTGTAGTTCTTGTCTTGTAAATTGTCATTGCTTTGTCACCCTATGCAACAAATACATAAAAAAAAAGGACACTTTGGATGCGGTCCCTAACTATCAATATTCTTTGATTGAAACCTTGTTAGTTTTTAGTTTTTGATTGAGGTCCCTGACATTAATGTAATAATGTAAGTTACTATATTTTTTAAATTAAAAATTAAAAATTGAAATTTGTAATTGTTTATATTAATGAGATTTTAAATAAAACCCATAATTTATGGGATTAAAAATAATAAAATATAAATTATACTCTCTATTATATTGTGTGTGTGTATATACATATATGTATGGGTACATTAACCAAAATTAACAAAAAAAGTTATTGTACCAAAACATGGATGCATTCTCAAATCAATGAAAAAGAATGTACCCATATAAGTTTAAACATGGATAAAAATTTTGAAAGGATTTTATATTAAAAAAAAGGTACATTTTAAATATAACAAATTGATATATTTGAGAATGGGTACATTTAAGATTAAAAAAATTGAAAAATTATATGAATGGGTACATTTAAGATTAAAAATTGAGAATCTTTTTATATATATATATAAAAAAACTAATAGGTACAAACTTAATTTAATTTAATTTATTATTATTTTGGAAATGTTTGAATTGAAAATTAATTAGAAGTTTAATCGAGGTGTGAGTATTAAACCCTGTTGATGCACAAAATAAGCGAAGACTTTGGTACAACAGAAAGTGTCAGGTTTTGTGACCTTCGCTTGGTTGCTTCGGTCACTAGTGAGGATAAGTACGTAAATGAATAGAGACAGAGAAGCAAACACAGGATGTACGTGGTTCACCCAGATTGGCTACGTCCACGGAGTAGAGGAGTTCTTATTAGTAGTGAAGGGCTTACACAAGTACAAAGGATCAAGCTCTCAATTTAGTGAGTTCTTGTGAATGATTTAACACAAATGGCATTAGGCAATATTGTGGGGGAATGACCCCTATTTATAGAAAAACTTGTAGCTTTGTCACATTGACATGTGTCATGTTATGATTGGTTCTTGATGTCGACACGTGCTGCGCTCTGATTGGCTTCTAATCTTGACACGTGTCGAGTAGTGATTGGCCTCCTGGTCGGAGGGGAACTCTTCTGGGTCATTGACAGTATAGCGTTGGCCGGTGCTCGGTAGTTTCGGGATTGGTCAAGTATGGTACAAACAGTGCTCCCCTAAGTTCCCGAGTGAGGGAAACTCCTCGGTTGGGGACTTGCAAGATCCAATCCCTTGAGTAATCACGAAACTTCTAAGTACCGAAGTGTGGTCTGATCTTCATCTGCCCTTCTCTGGAAGTACCTTTCCTCCATCCGGGAATGGTGTACTTAGCTGATGTTGACGCACAAGGTAATGTATCAATTTCACTTAAAGCTTAGTTGTAGTTTCGGGCTTAGTCAAGTGTGATACAAACCCTATAGTAGGAGTCCCCCAAGTCGCCGAGCTAGGAGATCTGCCGAAAGAGGTGACAGACAAGGTAAGCAGTCAAACTTCCAAGTAAGCAACCCAGGATCAGAGGTTTGACTTCGGCTTCCGGTTGATTGTTCTCCTTCTCCTTGTCTCTCATTCAACTGCCAGGATAAGGAGAAGCAAATGGATAAGAGATGATATGAGATACTTTTGCTTTTGAAGAAGTAACTTTCCACAGGCTTATTCTTGAACTGTGCTGGAGGGTTTTCTGGTGCCCTTCAGAGTATAAGGCCGACTCAAAAATTTGAGGGTCAAAACAAGTCCATCAAATCTAGAGTACGTTCGACCTTGATGATATGGGATACTTTTGCTGTTGACGGAATAATGAATGTGGTATGGAAAGGTGTCGTGCTGTAGTGATCTGTTTCAGCTCACCGTTGAACCTTCTGCTTCAATCTTTTGCATGGCAGAAGTGGTGTGCAACCTTTGCATTTTAATGGTCCTTCAGAACATTCCTTCATAGTGACTCATCCATGCTTGGCAGCTTCAGTGTAAAGAGCCAATATCTGATCAACTGTCATGAGGTATTTGCCGGTGGAATTCGTGACCTTGACAGCAGTTGAGGATGAGTACTCGAGAGCAATGCTAAGTAAGCAACCAGGTAAAGGCTCCAGGCAGTCAGTTCCAAATTGGAGGTTTGATTTCAGGTTCCGACTGACTGCTCTCTTTCTCCTTGTCCTGCAGGTGTGGACAAGGACAAAGACAAAGATAGGGAGAAAGCATGATATATGGGATACTCTTGCTTTCGACCCTGATGATATGAGATACTCTTGTTCTTGGTGTGGCTTATTTGCTGAGGTATTATCGGGGGGAAATAAAGCTGAGTATTTCGAGAGGTTATGTTGAGGGTGCCTTTTCGAATGCGAGAAAGGGTTGAGCATTTTTGCAGGTTTGCCTGTCCGTTGAGGAGGGAGGTCAATGTATATAGGGATTTCCCAATAACAAGTAGTAATGCTATTCCTTTACCCTTCTTGGTCACAGCAATGTAGTGGGAGCTGCCAGCTTCACGTGTTTTAATTTTGTCAGAGCACTTTGAAAAAAGTGGTATGTGGTATCTGGAAAGCTGATGTTACGTGTGAAGATTACAGACAAGCTTTATCTAAGGAAATCTGGCTCTCGAAGTTCTGAGAGTTGTGCCTCTTCGGTTTTCAAACAAGCAATCCCGTCGAGGATCTGACTTTCGAGATTCGGAAAGCGGTGCTACTCCGGTTTTTGAGAAAGTAATTATGTTGGGAGTCTTTTCTCGAATGTGAGTAAAGGTTGGACGTTCTTGCCAACCTGTCTTGCCGCAAAACACGGAGGTCGACACACATAGGGACTTTCCAGTTGTCAAGCAGTGGTGTTGTTCCTTTACCCTTATGGGTAATAGTAGGGTAGCTGGAACTTCGAAATTCTCGTGCCTAAACTTTGTCAGAGATCTTTGATAAAGTTATATGTGGTACCCGAGGAGTTGATGGTGCATATGGAGAGTGGTGATTGAACAGTAAGATTCACGTGCTTTCTACTTCACCAGAAATCTTCGACAGATTGCCCGTAATTTCCGCAAAGCTGAGTGTGCATGTGACAGGTGCTGACGAGGCTGAAAAAGCAGGTGCTTCTTCGATTTCTGAGATCGGCCCTCGTGGTCTCTGAGCAGCCCAGCTTTTGAGAAAGCAAACGCCTCTTCGATTTCTGAAGCTCCGTCGAGTGCAGATTTTTATAGAGGCTGTCATTAAGTTCCACAGCACACTTGAATCTCTACCAGTAGAAGCTCATTTCTTGCACTTCTAAGATCTTGATTTGTCTGACCTCTTCCCTCTTCAACACATTTGAAAATGTCTGGACCCTCCGACCGTCGTTTTGACTTGAACCTTGGAGAAGAGACAGCCACGCCTTCTCCAGACAACATATGGCGCCCATCCTTCATATCCCCTACTGGTCCTCTTACCGTTGGGGATTCTGTGATGAAGAATGATATGACCGCTGCGGTGGTGGCCAGGAACCTTCTCACTCCCAAAGATAACAGACTACTTTCCAAACGGTCTGATGAGTTGGCTGTTAAGGACTCTCTGGCTCTTAGTGTTCAGTGTGCAGGTTCTGTGTCTAATATGGCCCAACGCCTATTTGCTAGAACCCGCCAAGTTGAATCATTGGCTGCTGAAGTGATGAGTCTCAAACATGAGATTAGAGGGCTCAAGCATGAGAATAAGCAGTTGCACCGGCTTGCCCATGACTATGCTACAAACATGAAGAGGAAGCTTGACCAGATGAAGGAATCTGATGGTAAGGTTTTACTTGATCATCAGCGGTTTGTGGGTTTGTTCCAAAGGCATTTATTGCCTTCGTCCTCTGGGGCTGTACCTGGTAATGAAGCTTCAAATGATGAACCTCCAATGCCTCATCCTTCTGGGGTTTTGTCAAGTACTGAGGCTCCGGATAACCACCCTCCGGTGCTTTCTCTTTCTGGGGCTCTACCGACTGCTGAGACTTCCCCTAAGCAACCTTTGTGAAGGCTCCCTTTTGTTTGTTTATTTTGACTCATGTATATGTACATATTTGTGACTTATCGAAAATATTAATAAATAAGCTTTGCTTCATTTCAACATATTGTGTTAAATACACCAAAGCCTTCTTCATAAAGTTCTTTGAATTTTTGCTTTTGTTGAAACCTGTATTGTTGAAGCTTTGTGAGTGAAGCATGTAGTTTGAGGTAGTGTTCCCTTAATTTCCCGAGTGAGGAAAACTTCTCGGTTGGAGACTTGAAAAATCCAAGTCACTGAGTGGTTTGTGAGACTGCCGAGTATCAAGGTGCAGTAGCATATGGTGGGAGTCCCCCAAGTCTTCAGGCGAAGAGAGTTGCCGAATGAGGTGTCTAGCTAGTAGTCAATGTCATGAGTAGGAAAACTTCACTTGTTTCTTTTCGAAGTGGTAACCCAGGGCTCTTTCTTCATATATTGTTTTTTGTTATGAAGATGTGTTAGGCCCAAAGAAGTGGAGGCCTAGGCCCTTTTTTTTTTTTTTTTTTTTTTTTACTCCCTCCCTTTTTCTTTGGAATGTTTATACAGATATCTATAATGTGGCCTTTGTCATGATTTTGGAGGATGGGTGTAGTCGAATCCAATGAGGGGTAGGGTATGACTCATTATCATGTGCCATGATTTTGTCTTCCTTTAGCTTTTCTTTTACTTTGCTTTACCATTTTTGCTTTCCTTTAGTCTTCCTTTAGCTTTTCTTCAATATAACACCATTTCTGTGGCTCAGATCGCAAAACCATCTTCATGAAAGTTGTTCCTTAGCTCGTGAACTACAACATATCCGAATTGGAGATCCATCGGAGCAGTACAACTCCAGAAATTCAGGTATGATGAGTGATTGTTCGTCATTTGTATATCAACCCGTTAGATTTGTTGTGAGCTTTGAAACTCTATTTTCTCTTGCTCAGATCAGCATGCTTTCTTCATTGAAGTTGTTCCTAAGCTTGTGAACTACAACATATCCAAATTTGAGATCCCTCGGAGCAGTATAACTCCAGAAATCCAGGTATGATGAATGACTGGTTATTATTTTTCTGTCAACCCGTCAGATTTGTTGTGAGCTTCGAAACTCCATTTTCTCTTGTTCAGATCGGTATGCTTTCTTCATTGAAGTTGTTCCTAATCGTCTCTTTCATAACATATCAAAAATTCAGAATGAACTAATGGGGGGTTAAATATTTCCAGATCTTCGAAACATCACAGCAGCTTCGAAATCTGCAAGAATCCGACTGTCATGTTTGGAGCTTCAACACTTTAATTTCCGTCGCTCAAACAGAAATGGTTCCTTCTTGAAAGTTGTTCATATGCTCAAGAACTATAGGGTGTCCAAAATTCAGCTCCATTGGAGAAGAGCAGAGGTTACAGAAATTTGATAGATGAAAGGAGGCGGAAGAGGGAGAGAGAGAAAAAGTCTCTTGGGTTGGATTTCTATTTTGGGGCAGATTCCAATTTTTGTAGCACCTTCATTATTGATGAATTGCTTGTACTTTTGTTCATTATGAAACTTGGGACTTTGGCTTGTTGTTGGATCTATTATAATATGTTTGGGAACATATATAAGTGAATAAATAAGAAGGAAAATTTTGGGCCCTTGTGGGTGTAAAAAACAAAAAATGTTTATGTTTACCCAAGTGTTTTTGTACAAGTTCAAGGGCATCTTGGGTTTTGTGAACAAAATTTGTTTATTTGGAGCAAGGTTTTGTGTTGAAGCTTTGTAGGTGAAGCTTTGGTGTTGAAGCTTTCTAGGTGAAGCTTTGATGGTGAAGCTTTGTAGATGAAGCTTTGTAGATGAAGCTTTCTAGGTGAAGCTTTGATGGTGAAGCTTTGATGGTGAAAGTATGTAGAGGGAGCTTTCTAGGTGAAGCTTTTTTAGGTGAAGCTGTGTAGGTGAAGCTTTTTTAAGTGAAGCTTTTCGGGTGAAGTTTTTTGGGTGAAGCTTTGTGGGTGAAGCTTTTTTAGGTGAAGCTGTTTGGGTGAAGCTTTTTGGAGGTGAAGTTTTTTTTGGGTGAAGCTTTTTTAGGTGAAGCTTTTTGGGTGAAACTTTTTGGATGAAGCTTTTTGGGTGAAGCTTTGTGGGTGAAGCTTTTGAGGTGAAGCTTTGTGGGTGAAGCTTTTTTAGGTGAAGCTGTTTGTGTGAAGCTTTTTGGAGGTGAAGTTTTTTTTGGGTGAAGCTTTTTTAGGTGAAGCTTTTTGGGTGAAACTTTTTGGATGAAGCTTTTTGGGTGAAGTTTTGGAGGTGAAGCTTTTCGGGTGAAGCTTTTTGGATGAAGCTGTTTTTTTTTTTTTTTTTTTTTTTTTTTTTGGCGCTTGACACGGTCTTCATTTGCTTGTTTTGTAGTGACTGTGGAAGACGAATTGCTTTCTGATTGAGAAGGGTTCCGGCATCGCTTTGCACCATCTTCATGTGGGTAATATAGGAACTTCCTTATGTTTTGATCATGCATGTAGTGATAGAATTTGTTTCTTCTTATTGTAGATGTCAGAGCCTGGAAGTTCTAGTGATGAGGGCTCTTCTAGCTTTAGCTCTAAGTCTGAGTCTGCAATGTCGGAGTCTTCAGGGTCTTTGTTAGAGTCCTGTACTAGAGAAACATTGGATGATCTTCCCAATCGTCAAACTTTAGCTATTGCTAGTTCTTCCTCCATGGCGTTGGGTGAGGGGGTTGTTTTTGATGCCATACCCATAGTTCGCTCTGAGTTCACAACAGACCATCTAAAGAATAACTTGTTAAATAATGAGAAGCAGGTTGAGACGCTAAGGCAGTCATGTAATATCCCTCGTAGTGTAGGGATACGTTTGGTACATGATGAAGAATGACCTTCTGAGCCTCCCCAGGGTCATGTTATGTTCTACACCCAGATATTACTGACTTTAGGGGTGAGACTACCTTTACATCCGTGGTTGCAAAAGATGTTATCTTTGATCGGATATGCACCTGGGCAACTCAATCCTGGTTTCTGGGATACTTTGATTGGATTTTATATCATTTGGATGGAGTGTGGGTTGTGTGAGCCTTCCTTCCATCAGTGGCGTTACTGTTACAAGATGCGCCCAGCAAAATCATGCACTGGTTATGCCGAGTGTGCATGTCGGAGTGAGAGAGAGCGTATTGTGTATGGTAAGAAAAAGGCACACTACACATGGAAAAACCGTTGGTGCTTTCTGTATAATGATTGGGAGTATGATAAGGGTGTCACGCCTGAGCGACGTGTGCTTACTCACTTCCAGACTGTAGGTTGTAACGTATCAACCGTTCGTACTATTTGCTATTTGTTGTGGTCTTTTCTTGCTTCTAACACTTTGCTTCATGTAGTGACGCGGGGCACCATCCAACTGTTTGGGCAGGAGCTATCTGACATAGAGAAGGTGTTGAGGGTGCCCAAAAGAGATAGACACTTAAGCAAGCTACGACCCTTATTTCGTCGGTACGGTTTCCAACCCTTAGTTTCCGAGAGCCAGGGACGATCGAGTAAGTTGTATCCTTCATGTAAACTTAGCTCAATTCCTTACTTTATTTGGAAAGTTGTATTTCTTATTTTGATTTTCCTTATGCAGTGGAGAAGGTAAGCAAAGAAAACAGGGACTAGCACCAATAAAAGGAAAGCACCAGTGTTAGTTCCTTCGGAAGACATCCTACCGCATAAAGAAAATTCATAAGTTCCGAGGGGAACCATCCGTTAGACCTAAGTCCCAAGATGGGGTCCTTAAGGGGCCTGCCTTTAGGAAGACCGGAGTCGAGGGCCGTTGAAAATGCTGCTGCCGTAGTTGCAGGAGAAGGGAGCCGACTGTTGCCTCCTCCTCTTACTATGGAGCACACTGTCCAGGAAAGTGATCCTGGTTCCCGCCATGAGGGGAAAGGCAAGGAAAGAGCTGGCAGTGTCCCGTGGAAGGACTTGAGGGTTGCCACGCGGCCAAAGGATTTTGGGGATATCAACAATTGCTTGGCAGGGCGCGTCGATTCGCCTTCGATGAGCTCGGAGAGCCCTTAGCTAAGGATGAATCGGATTGCGACCGGATGTTGAAGCTGTCTTCATATGTGAGTGTTACTTTGTCATTTCCTTACTTTTTTCTCTTTACTATCATTATTTAGGTAGTGATGATCGTCTTGCCATGCAGGTCATGGCCGAGTATCACGACAGACTGCAAAAGGTTGAGCAGTACAAGGCAAAACTGAAGGAGAATAAGCAGCTTGTGGACGAGGCCCGAAGGAATAAGGGACTTTTGACTCAGGCTCTCCAACTGAAGGACGAAACCATGGAGAGCTTGAAAAGGCGAAATGGTGAGAACCTAAGGCTTAAGAAATTGTTTGAGGCAACTAAAAAACAGTTGGAGGTGGCTACCTTGGAGGTATCCAAGGTTAGGGGAGAATTGGATGGTGCTCTAGTTGAGATTTCTGAACTGGAGAAGAGCATTCCAACTGAAAGGGAGGCTGCTGTGCAAGAATACTTAAGTTCTTCGACCTTTCACCTTGCTATTAAACCCTACTGTGCTCAAGAAGCTCGCTTTGAAAAAAGGAAATGGATGGCCGTCCTTGATCGTTATGATGATGGGAGCATTCTTCGAAAATACCACGAAGATATAGATGAGCATCATCGAAAGGGCGAGACATTTGTCCTTGCTGTTGATCCTAGCAGCGAAGATGAGTCTGATAATGAAAGGTAGTGCTAATGCACAGACTCAGCATGGTGAAGAGGATCTTGGGGATGCAGAGGATGATGGTAGGACGCGCGGAGTGATACTGCCAGGGGTTCGGCTTCAGATGAGAATGAATAGCAGTGTCTTTACTATCTGCATGTATTCTGGATGTAGTAGTCTGATGTGTGTATAACATGTGCCCATGTTATAAGCTTGAGAGTTTTGGATTTTAGGTGTTTATGAGTGTTTGCACTATTATTAATGCATGTTTGGCTATGTATGAATAGATCTATTGTTTGGATATAAGCCCTTGTTTGGTTGTTCCTTTCTTTGTATAGTCTTGTCGACACATACTTAGATTTTGTTTCGTGTTGGATATATCTGCTTTGAGGTTTCAACACTTGAGTGTTCCATTGCTAGGAATGTAAAAGAGTGAGGGCTGAGTTGGCTAAATTACCTCTTTATTGAATTCATTGCCAAATGGCCTTCATTACATAGGATGCCGAACGGCTATAGCTCAACACTTGTACATCGTGAGTCTATTTGTAGTAGTACTTCAAGTGATCAGCGTTCCATGGATGGCCAAGGGTCTTGCCATCGGAGCTTCTAAGTGTGTAAGAGCCAGGGCGACTGATGCCAATGACTTCATACGGTCCATCCCAGTTTGGACTAAGTGTGTGCCTTCACTCGGGACTCTGTCGCAGAGTAATCTTTTCTTTAAGACCCAGTCTCCTATTTTGAAAGAACGAGGCTTGACCCTAGAGTCATAATAGTTGGAGATGCGCTGCTTGTAGGCGACATTCCTCAAGTGAGCTTGGTTTCTGTGTTCCTCGACTAAATCCAAGTTGAGGGTAAGTTGTTTGTCATTTTCACTTTGAATGTAGTTCTGGACTCGGAATGTTGCTTGCTCGAGCTCAACAGGGACAACCGCATCTGTGCCAAAGGCAAGTGAGAATGGAGTTTCTCCTGTTGAAGTCCGATATGAAGTGCGATATGACCAAAGAACTTGGGGTACAAATTCTGGCCAACAGCCTTTAGCTTTGTCCAAGCTGGTTTTCAAAGTGCGCTTGATTATTTTGTTGATGGCTTCAACTTGTCCATTAGACTGGGGATGAGCTGGAGAGGCAAAGCATAAGTTGATGTTGAACTTAGAGCAGAACAACTTGAACTTCTTGTTGTCAAACTGTCGCCCATTGTCAGTGACTATCGCATTGGGAATGCCGAATCTACAAAGGATGTTCTTCCACACGAAGTCTTCTATCTTTGCCTCAGTAATGGTTGCCAAGGGTTCTACTTCGGCCCACTTTGTGAAGTAGTCCACTGCAACGACTGCGTAACAGACTTTTGCCCTTCCCTGCCGGCATTGGGCCGATCAAATCAAGTCCCCACTGGGCGAAGGGCCAAGGGCTGATCATAGGAGTAAAGAGGCTCTGGAGGGGAATGAGGAATAGTCGCATATCGTTGACATTTGTCACATGAGCGGGATACTTTGATGGCATCCTGGTGGAGTGTTGGCCAGTAATATCCTTGGCGAAAAAGTCTTGTGTGCTAGGGACCGAGATCCAGCATGATCTCCACAGACTCCCTCATGTATTTCCCGAAGGACGATTTCCGCCTCGGCAAGCGTAAGACACCTTAAGTATGGCAGGCTAAAACCTCGCTTATAGAGTTGATCATTGATGATCAGGTAGCGGGTAGACTTGTATCGAATTTGCTTAGCCTGGACTTTATCATTTGGGAGGGTGCCATGAGCAAGGAAATTATAGATCGGGGTGATCCAACTATCCCCCTGTTGTAAGTTGCATACTTCTGCGGCCATGGTGCTTGGTGTTGCCAACAGTTCGACATGAATTTTTCTTCCAATCTTGTCTTCCACAGCTGAGGCGAGGCGAGCCAGGGCGTCTGCATGACTGTTTGCCGCTCGAGGAACTTGGGTGATCTGGTAGTGGAAGTGTTTGAGCAAAAGTTGTGTTTGCGCGAGATATGCTGCCATGGAGCTGTCCTTAGCATCAAAGTTGTTGGTAACCTGGTTGACCATTAATTGGGAGTCACTGAAAATATCAATTTGTTTAACCCCGAGGTGTTTGGCCAAACGTAATCCTGCTAGAAGGGCTTCATACTCGGCCTCATTGTTTGATGCCTTGAATTTGAAACGAAGAGCATACTCCATTGCTACTTTGTCGGGCGTAGTCAAGACTAGTCCCGCTCCACAGCCCTGTTGGTTGGATGAGCCATCAACATACAGACTCCATGCTGGGGTTGTTGGTTCTATCTTCTGAGCTTCCGATGGTAATGAAGCTACTGCTTCAGGTGTATAAGCAATGTCAACAGGATATGTGAAGTCGGCGATGAAATCTGCTACTGCTTGGCCTTTTTCGGCTGGTTTTGGTTGGTAGGAGATGTCAAAACTCACCCAATGCTATCGCCCATTTGATCATTCGTCCAGACGTGTCAGGACTCTGGAGTATCTGTCGAAGAGGGTGATTGGTAAGCACGATGATGACGTGTGCTTGGAAATAAGGGCGAAGTTTCCGAGCAGACATGACCAATGCTAGAGCTAATTTCTCAATGTTGGAGTATCGTGTCTCCGCATCTTGTAGGGCCTTGCTAGCGTAGTAGACGGGCCGTTCGACACCACTGTCCATTCGAATAAGAACAGAACTGACTGCTGAAGCCGAAACCGATAGATAGATGATGAGAGTGTCACCAACTTCTGGTTTGGAGAGCAGAGGGGCTTTACTCATGTACTCTTTGAGGTTCCTGAATGCCTTGGCACATTCCTCCGTCCATGTAATGTACTTCTTATTTCCCTTGAGTGCTTTGAAGAAAGGAGCACATCTGTCTGTGGCCTTAGAGATGAATCTGGTTAAGGCTGCCACCTTGCCAGTAAGGCTTTGGATGTCTTTTGAAGTTATTGGCTCTTTCATGTCGAGGATTGCTTTGATCTTTTCAGGGTTAGCTTCAATGCCTCGTTGGCTAATCATGAAGCCTAAGAATTTGCCAGAGCCCACGCCGAAGGCACATTTGTTGGGGTTCAACCTCATTCGATACCTCTTTAGAATGGTGAAAGTTTCAGATAGGTTGGTGATGTGTTGGTCAGCATGTTTGCTTTTGACTAGCATATCATCAACGTAAACTTCCATGTTCTTCCCAATTTGTTCGGCGAACATTGAATTGACCAGTCTCTGATAAGTTGCTCCTGCATTCTTTAGGCCGAAAGGCATGACTTTATAGCAATATAGTCCCCTGTCAGTAGTGAAGGCCGTGTGTTCTTGGTCTGAGGGGTTCATGAGGATTTGGTTGTATCCTGAATAAGCGTCCATAAAGCTCAAGAGCTCACACCCTGCCGTAGAGTCTATAAGCCTGTCAATAAGAGGAAGAGGGAAACTATCTTTCGGACACCCTTTGTTTAGGTCGGTGTAGTCAACACACATCCTCCACAAGACCTTTTGAAGCGAAAGACTTTCTTTGGTCAGATTTTTCCTAACAAGGACCACATTTGCTACCCATGTCGGGTAATTGACTTCGCGGACAAAGCCTATGCCTTTGAGTTTTTCAACTTCTGCTTTCATTGCCTCGTATCGTTCAGCGTCATAAGATCTTCGCTTCTGTCTCACCGGCTTGATCTTGGGGTCAATACTCAAACGATGACAGATGACATCGGGAGAGATGCCTGGCATGTCCTCGTATGACCAGGCGAAGACTTCAGTGTTCTCTTTCAAAAAAGATATCAATGCTAACCGAAGGGGTGGTGACAATGTGGTGCCAATCTTCACCATGCGATCTGGATAATCTCTTGAGATAGGTACATTCTCCAACTCTTCAGCAGGTTGGGCTTGCTGTGTGAAAGAGTCATCTCGAGGATCATCGGGTTGATTGTTGCTATCAGGAAGATCCAAGTTCGCTTCATCTAGGCTGGTCTTTGTGACTTGGTCATGTACAGACAGGGTTTCCTTGGGTCCGGGCAAGTGTTGTTGCTTAACTGAAGTGTTGTAACATGATCGTGCAGTAAGCTGATCTCCTCTTATGTAGCTGTTGCCATGGGGGGTTGGAAATTTCATCAACAGCATATGCGTGGATACCATAGCCTTGAGATCATTGATGCCTGTGCGCCCAAAGATGACATTGTATGCCGTTGGGCAGTCAACCACTAGGAAGTTAGTGGTAATGGTAGCCGTGTAAGGGCCTGTACCAATAGTAAAGGGTAAATGTATGCTCCCTAAGGGTTGCACGATATCACCGGAGAAGCTTATCAGAGGAGAAATCGAGCGATCGAGCAAGTGTTCAGCTACACTGAGTGCCCTGAAAGCTTCGGCAAACATGATATTGACCGAAGCCCCTGTGTCTACGAGGATTCGTCGAACATCAAAGTTGGCTATGTGAGCCTCCACGATCAATGGGTCGTTATGAGGGTAGATGATGCCTCTTTCTTCCTCAGGGTAGAAACATATCGGATCCCAGTTAGGCTTTTGATACTTCCCTCCCCTGATGTCTTCCACGTGAAAACACTTGGTGACCAGGCCTCAGAATTCGTTCACTGTTTTTCATGGCCCTATTGGAAGATTCAGATATGGGTGTGCCGCCGCTTATGGAATATATGACATTCACCTGGCGTTGGTTACGGTTATCCCTTTGAGGGTGAAGGAGGAATTGATCAATTTTTCCTTCTCGTGCCAAAGCTTCAATACGATCATGGAGGATGATACATTTCTCGCTATCATGGCTGTTATGCTCATGGTAGCAACAAAACATGCCCGCGTTATTCGGGGGCGTGTAATCTGGGTGCCTCGGCTTTGGCTTTGGTATCAGGTGAGCTATGCTGGGGTAAATGGCCGCGCATGTGGCATTTAAGGGCGTGTATGTCTCATACCTTGGGGTATGGGGTATCTTGACGCGGGTTTGACCCACTGCATTGACTGCCTGGGGGCGAGCGTTATTGTGGCGATACCCTTGGTTATCGGGATAGTGTCCCTTACTCTTTTTACTGGAAGGAGAGTGGTGAGGATGGAAATCCTTCCTCTTGCCTT